CTTGGTGGAGGTCAGGGTGGGGCTGTGCAGGATGAACTCCCCCGTCTGCGGGTGCGAGGCGGGAAGAACGGATGTGTATAGCTATTGGTGGCGCTGGTAATGGTGGCGGTGATATAGTAGTGATGAAAGTGTTGGTGAGAATGGCGGTGAATGGCGGTGGTGGAAATGGTGGTGGTGATGATGATGGTGGTGGCGTTAGGTCTGGGACGTAATTATCTTCCGAAAGGTCAGGATACGGATACATGTATGTATGTATGTATATATGTAAAAGACTTCGTGATGGTGCTTATAGGAACGGTGCTGGCACAGATAGGGAGTTAAGGGTGTAGAGGGGAGGTTCGTATGAGAGCAGGATGGGATCATCAGCAAGGGAGCAACGCAAGGGTATTGTCGTATTCATCCGCACACCTGTCTGTCGTACGTCGCCGTCGTCTCCAGGCCACGTACGAACGTGCCGTGACCTAGCTCCGTTTGGGCATATGTGCCAATAATCCTATATATATACAAGCAATTTTCATTAAAGGACAAGGAAGGTAAACTTATTTCGTACCCACACTCATTTCGTACCGCCGCATTACCATGCAAGGGACGATGGAGTTAACGAGGTTGTTAATTATCGAGACGACAAAAAAGATGTTCATCATTTCAGCGGTTGAGGAGGGTTGCATCGTACCTGTTGTGAATGCCCAGCCTGTGGGGACCTTAGGGTTAAACCGCGCGAAGGGGCCTTGGCTTCCTTCCGATGGCTATTATGGCTGTAAAGCGGGACTATTATGGCTGTTAAAGCGGGACTATTATGGCTGTTAAAGCGGGACTATTATGGCTGTTAAAGCGGGACTATTATGGCTGTTAAAGCGGGACTATTATGGCTGTTAAAGCGGGACTATTATGGCTGTTAAAGCGGGACTATTATGGCTGTTAAAGCGGGACTATTATGGCTGTCAAGGCCCCCTTATAGCTGTGGCCTTCCCCCTCTCTCGTGAGGTATGGGATCGTGAGGTATGGGATCGTGAGGTATGGGATCGTGAGGTATGGGATCGTGAGGTATGGGATCGTGAGGTATGGGATCGTGAGGTATGGGATCGTGAGGTATGGGATCGTGAGGTATGGGATCGTGAGGTATGGGATCGTGAGGTATGGGATCGTGAGGTATGGGA